GGCTTAGAGGCCAGCCGCACACTCTAGGGGTAAAGGCAGCTCAGATAGAGAAGGGAGCACCAAATAAAGGGTGCTGGGAAGATCCGCCTAGGATGGGAGATGCATGCTGAAAGTAGTCTATAGACCGAACATGATTGCCACACAACAGCACCCAAAAGGAGAGATAGAACAAAAGGGAGTGCCCTGCCACAGAGGCAGGGTGGGATGGGGGATAGAGGGGTGGGAGGGATACTGGAATTGGTGGGGGTAGGGAATGGGCAGTGGTGGTGGGATGGGTACTCGATCATTGTATAACTGAAACCCAAGCACAACAACTTGTAAGTCTACAACTGAACCTTATGGTGTTTCACTAATAAAAAAAAAAAGCTATTGAAAACGCAAAAAAATAATAATTCTTGATCTACTTTTCCTTTTCTATCTTAAAACTCATTTACATGTTATCTAAAAAATTGCATCAACCATCATGTATTTGTTCAGCAAAAAACTTAAGTGTGTTCTTTCATTCTTACACACACATAAACAACACGTATGTCCTGTCACCAGTACAGTAAACCCAACCCTTCCTCATTACTGTCTTTTTAGGTAAGGCATCTCTTGCCTAGTCTCTGTAGTAGCATCCTAACAAAACCACCTTCATCTCTTGTCACCCAAAGTTCACTTGTCTGGAGTCAAATAGTCCAGTCAAAAAACAGGCACCAACAAAACAAGAGAACCTTGAAAAAATGGATAAATTCCTGTATTCCTATAATCTCTCAAAGCTGACCCAAGAATAGAACACATAATCAGACCTATTACCATTAAGGAAATTGAAACAGTAATCAAAAGTCTCACGAAAAATCAAAGTCCTTGGCCCAGATGGGTTCACTAGTGAATTCTTCCAAATCTTTAAGAAGGACCTACTCACAATCCTGTTCAAGTTTTTTCAAGAAATTGAAAAAACAGTTACTCCTCCAAAGAGTTTCTATGAGACAAATATCACCCTCATACCAAAAGTAGAGATCTCACAAAAAAAGAAAATTATGAACAGATATTCCTGATGAACACAGACACAAAGACCTTGAACAAAATACTAGTCAATAGAATCCAATGACTCATCAGAAGATAACACACCATGAGCAAGTAGGATTCATCCTGGGAATGCAAGGATACTTCAACACTCAAGTCAAGCAACATAATATGCCATATCAATAAAAAAGAAATATAAAAACCATATGATCATGTTAATAAATGCAGAGAAGGCATCTGACAAGATCCAGCACCCACTTAGGATAAATCTCTCAATAAAATGGGAATCGAAGGAACTTTCCTCAATATAGTCAAAGCCATCTACCACAAGCTCAAAGCAAGCATTATTTTCTGCACTGCACTGCACTGTCCTCCCATTGTTCATCAATTTGCTCTAGGGAAAAACTAAGAGCCTACCCTCTAAGATCAGGAACAAGACAAGGCTGCCCAGAGTCACAACTTCTATTCAATATAGAGCTGGAAGTACTTGCCATAGCTCTTAAGCAAGAACAAGATAGCAAGGGCATCCAAAGAGAAAAGGAAGAAGTCCAGCTATCATTATTTGCAGATGACATGATACTAAAGAAAATCCTAAAGACTCGACAGAAAAGCTCCTAGAAACAATAGGTTTGTATAGTAAAGTGGCAGGTTACAAAATCAATACCCAAAAGTCCATGGCTTCCCTATGTACAAATAATAAAAGAGATATTAATAACACAATTCCATTCACGGTAGTGCCCCAGAAAATCAAGTAACTTTGAATCAGCTTAACTAAAGAGGTGAAGGACTGATTTAAAAAAAAAAAAACTACAAAATATTACTGCAAGAAATAAAAGAGGTCAATAGAAAATGGAGACATAGCTCCTGCTCATGTATCAGGAGGATTACAACTGTCAAAATGTGTATGCTCCCCAATGCATGATAAAGATTCAATGTGGGCCCTATAATGATAATCATGATAATCATGATGTTTTTCAAAGAAATAGACAAAACAGTCCTGAAATCCATATGGTGCAATAAAGCCCTCATGAATGTCTAAAGCAATCCTCAGGAAAAAAAGAAGATGGGTGGCATCACCTTCCCTTACCTAAAACTTTACTAGAAAGTAGTAGTAATTAAAAAAGCAAGCATGGTATTGCAATAGAAACAGACCTACAGAGCAATGGAGCAGAGATGAATATTCTGACACAAACCCTCAAGCATATGATCACTTAATCTTAGATAAAGGAGCACAGAATGTGAAGTGGAGCACAGAAAGGCTCTTCAATAAGTGGTGCTGGGAAAACTGGATAGCTATCTGGAAAAAAAAAACATGAACTCTGACATCTAATGGTCATGATCACCATCATCCTGTTGTTCGTCGATTGCCTCAAGCAGGTCCCAGTAACATCTCCTTCGTCCTAGTCCTGAGATTTTAAAAAGTGCCATATTCAAGGCTCTTTCAGGGTTAGGAGAATGAAACCCATCATTGTTACTGGTATTTGGCATATCAGGTACACCACAAGAAGTTTGCCAGACTCTGCCATGTGGGCAGGTAAGATTTGGTAGCCTGCCAGGTTGTCCAAAGTGAGAATGAGATAATAGGATGTCACATGGCCGCAAATGCGGTCACGCTTCCGCGAGCTGGGATCTATAGTCTCTGGGTCTTGGCTGTTGATGGAATTACATGGCGCTGGGGGTCAGATGGTGGGTGTGATCCCTGCCTACTGGAAGATGAAGGATCTGGGTGGAGGATGCTCAGCCCCGATCCGAGCAGGTTTGGAGATCTCAGCACCGGGACCCGCATGCCTTTGTTCCTCTGCCAGTACCTTCATGCGTGTGGAGAGTGGTCTCAGCATGGTGGGGTTGGTTCTGGAGGTCTTCGGCTGCAGGAGCTCTGTTCAGGGTGGGGAGGGAAACTCAACCCGCCCCCCTACAAGGGGCCCTAGCGAGGACAGCCAGGCGTGGGGGCAGGAGACTCTGCGGTGTTCTCTTCTGGGAGCTGGGTTTTATAGACTCTGGGTCTTGGCCGTTGATGGGATTACACGGAGCTCGGGGTCAGATCACATGGTGGTGTGACCCCTGCCTACTGGAAGATGGAGGATCTGGGTGGAGGATGCTCAGCCCCGATCCGAGCAGGTTTGGAGATCTCGGCCCCGGGACCCGCATGCCTTTGTTCCTCTGCCGGTACCTTCATGTGTGTGGAGAATGGTCTCAGCATGGTGGTGGCTGGTTCTGGAGGTCTTCAGCTGCCGGAGCTCTGTTGGGGCGAGGAAGAAAACTCAACCCACCCTCCTCCAAGGGGACCCAATGACGACAGCCAGGCGCGGGGGTAGGAGACTCTGGCATCTAACACTAAGCACAAAATTCATATCCAAAGGGATTAAAGACCTCAATGTCGAACCTGAATCCATAAGGTACATGAGGAAAAGGTAGGTAGAACCCCACATGATATTGAAAGTCAATCATGAAAAGTATGCAACTGTATCCCCTGGTAATTCAATAAAATAATTAAAAAACAAACAAAGAAAAACACAGGCACCCAAACTGAGCAGTTAAGGATCATGCTTAGAAAAAAGTCCAAGATATTTCCAAAATTATTGAGAAAGCTCCTGCATGATCTGGTTCAGAGATATCTCAGAAATCAGAACTTTCCACTCACAACACTTACACAAATCTGCTCACCAAGACCACGTCTCTGCAGACCTTGAACACACTGGGTACACCCGATGCTTTAACATCACCAATATACCTTTACATTTATGTATAGAGCACTTGATTCAGAATGGGGCAGCTTTGGACCAGAGATTTAGTAACAATGGGTGGGGTGCTTGCTCTGCATGCAGTCAACCTAGGTTAAATTCCCCATATGGTCCCATGAGCATCTAGGAGTCATCCTTGTGTGGCTCTTGGTTCAGCTTTACGTCTCTGCCCCTTCTGCCTCTCCCTCTTCCTCTCTTATATGATTAAACATAGTACAGAAATTATGGGTTCAGGGGACTGAGTCTGGGCATCCTACATGGAATGCATGCACTGCAGACCACTGATTTATCCTGTCAGCCCTCAAAAGACCTGCTTTGGTGAAATATTTTTTTTTATTAATTTTTAAAAAAATGTTATTGAATCACCATGAGACAGTTACAAGCTTTCATCTTTGGATTGCAATCACAAAATGATCAAACACTCATCCCTTCACCAGTGCACATTCCCCACCACCAATATCACTGGTATATCCCCACCTCCCTTTCCCAGCCTCCCACAGCTTCCATGGCAGAGAATATTCCCGATACTTCCTCTCTACTTTTGGGCATTATGGTTTGCAACACAGATACTGAGAGGTTATCATGTCTGGTCCATTATCTACTTTCAGCACACATTTCCTCTTATCAAAGTTTGTCTCTTGTCAATCAGAAAGAATGAAGACACTACTCCCTCAGGCTCTCTCACTTTAGTTTATTTTTCTTCAGTCACTGAAAATTGGGTGGACACAAGACTATGTAACTTAAAAAAAAATCTATTCATGTTCAATTTCCCCTACTTGTGTACATGCTTCATGAGGACAAAGACCATGCCTATTTTATTTATCATTCCTTTCCCCAAACCCTAACAATTCCTGATGAACAGTACTGGCTTAATAGTTACTAGAAAACAGTAAATTCAAGAAGTTTTAGCTATGCAAGACTCAAATGCAGAGATAATTCATGACATTATTTATAAACAAGATCTACCTACATTGAAAATATATTTACAACTAACAAAGCATCTCCAAATACTAAAATGTGAAAGTCCCAAAGGGCCCATAGTTTATAGAATTCTACAGAAGTTGATAACACTGAGTTTATTACAATAAAATATAAAATGTGTAAGCTTCAGGAAACTTTTCTACTGAAGAAAAAATATCCATACAAACACACACACACAGTTCACAGCACACAAGCTCTATAAGTAATGGGTTCTATCCCAAAGAAACACTAAGATGTATCAGGTGTTAGAATAAAAATCGAAAGTGCACTTACCTCCCTTTTTCTACCAAAAGCAAAACATCTATTTTTTCTCCGTTTTGAACCATTGTGCTGATGGCTGGAGAGAGACAAAAAAAATGAGCATTTTATTACACTACATTTTTAAGTGCACAGAAAGATGTAATTAGTAATAAAAACGCAATTATTAATACTTATTTGTATACTGGGATTGAGCTATCATAATTGGAGTAAGGCAACCCAGAGATACACAGGGATTACCCAAAAAGTACTACCAGTACACAGGGGACCTATGCGGTACCAGGTTTGAACCCAGGTAAGCTTCATACAAAGCAAGCACCCTATCTGCTGTACTATCTCTTCAGCCCACAGGTATGTTTGAGCTTCAATTGCATCCTCAAACAATTGTGTTCAGACTATAAGGTAAAAGGGAAAAAAAACTCACTTAGCTCTTGCAGTCTTCTTAAGTGCATTCTATCTTCCTGAACTTGCATTTGAAGGCAAAAACGTAAACTAGATTTATCCATAGCAAACCAGCCTTTCCTCCACTGATCCAGGGCATGGCAGTCCTTGTAGAAGAGTTGACCAATCAGATCATAGTCGGCTTCTGTTAAGTTTTCAGCAACAAAGGGAACAAAATGCTGTTAAAACAAATACAGAAAAAAACTAATAAAGACAGTGAAAAGTGGAAACCCCAGCCCTAGCTACTGAAGAAAGATGGAAAAGCATCTTTGCTATCCTATATAAATACTTGGTATAGAAGTAACACAATTTTCAAAACAAGAATTGAAACACGCTTTTAACTTTAAGACAGAAAAGCCATCCTGCATTTTCAAATGGCAACCAAAAAATCACTTTTCTTGATATATAAAAAACTGAAACACAGAGATAGTTTTTGTTGATCTTGAAGCATTTTTAAAATGCTAAAATCTTCAAAGGCTGGGCAATATTATAGCAGATAGGGCACCTTGTCTTGCATTCAGACAACTAGGTTTGATTCCTGGAACCTCATATGATCCCCCAAGCCCACCAGGAGTGACCCCTTAGTGCGGAACCAGAAGAAGACCAGATGCCAACCCTGCCAAAAATAAGTCTGTCTCCATGGGTTTATTTTATTAAATCTACTTCTTTCTCCTTTGTCCTAGAAGATATATACAGAATAACTTTATAATGTTGAAAAGACTAGGGCTGGAGAAATAGTACAGCAAGTAAGGTGCTTGCATGCGGCCAAACCAGTACCACATATGATCCCCCAAACCACTCCAGGAATGATACTTGAGTGAGAACTAGGAGTAAGCCCAGAGTACCACCAGTGGCCCACAAAACAAAAATGAGAAAGATCTTAATCATCAAAATGTGCTTTTAATTCAAAGAATCATTTCACCAAATCCTAAATAAAGTCTTTCTCTGTTTGAGTTATCTGTTAATCTATTTGGAATACAATTCTGAAAGCCTAAGTTTTCCCCAAAAATATTATATAAAATGTTTATGAATCTCTAATGGTTGACCATATAACACATGTTAGGACACTTCTTCGGATTCGGGATAATAATAAAGCATTTAAGTACCTTGGCTATGGCCTCTGTCCATTTCCTTTGAGCTTCAGCTGTTTCAGCTCCAAATAAAAATGCGCGTTCTGAGGGTAAATAGATCTCAAAACTAAAGATGGGCCTAAAGCACATGCAAACAAATGGAATCAACCAGTTATTAAAACAAATGGCATAAAGGCCAAAATTTTAATTAGACTTCATTTGTCAATGAGTGAGAAATCTATATCCATATCTCTGTTTATATATTTTTAATGGTTTATTATTCAAAGGAAGTACACCAAACAAACCACATCAAATGAAAGCACTATTATTCTAATACTTAATTACCATCTCACAACTTTGTTGGATATTCTGGACTCACTAAATTGACTAATATGTCAAAAAGGCTCTCTTGGTTCTCATCCTTCCCTAGAATGTTCTATTTACTCTGTCCCATAATTCAAAGTATTGATTAGACCTCCAATTAGCACTTTTTTGTCTTATTTCACAGTTTCCTTCCATCATCTCAACTGTTTTCAGAATTTAACATCCTTACCATACAGAAAAAAAAAGTAGAGTAACCTGAAATTTCCCCTGCGTTCAGAGCTCCAACTTTTTGTGTGGAACATACTACATGTACGCACACATATATACATGTAACACTGTAGCACTGTCCTCCCACTGTTCATCTATTTGCTCAAGCATGCACCAGTAATGTCCCATTGTGAGACTTGTTGTTACTGTTTTTGGCATATTGAATATGCCACGGGGAGCTTGCCAGGCTCTGCCATGCGGGTGGGATACTCTCAGTAGCCTACCAGGCTCTCTGAGAGGGATGAAGGAATCGAACCTGGGTTGGCCACATGCAAGGCAAATGCCCTAATTACTGTGCTATTGTGTGTGTTTATCTACATGTATATATACATGTATGTAGTAATACATATATATCTACACACATACATACGTATGTATATAGGCATATGTATGCATATAAAAATATGCTATTACCTGTACATGGCAAAGAACCTATAGTCATCATCTTCATTTCTGTCCCAAACTGGTTGTTAACAATATACAATATACAATTTAAAATATAATTAACAATTCTGCATCATATAGTGTTAACAACAATTGTTAACAATATACAATTTAGAAACATCACCATCTACCTCAAAAACAAATTCAAAACTTTAGAATTTAATTTATTCTTCTCCTTGTCAAAAAAAAAAAAAAGCCAAATGTAGCCCAGTCTTGAAAATTCCCTGTGCAAACAAACCAGGCTAGTAATACAAAATTTAGCTTAGCTTATTCTGCAAGATTAACTTGACCTGGGTCATTTCTTGTTTATGCCTCTAGAAATCATAAGCAAATTTTGCAGAGCTTGTTGAGGTTGATAGGAGGTAACCGCTTAAAATTCTAATATTATAGTCAATCACAATGAGGATTAAAGTGCTTTCTTCCTACATAAGCTGTTTTATAGCAATATACCCCTGAGCCTCATTCCTTGTTTGGGTGTGAAAGTTCCTAGTCTATAAACTCTTTGAAATGTGCATAATAAACTTTTGCTAATTCTACTTTGGCAATTCACTGGTTTTACTGGCTATTTCTGAACCGGTGACATCCTTAACTACAGCTCTTCATCCAGTCAATTGTATGTTTAATCTTATCAAAAGGTTCTCTGATCTTTATTTTAATGACCAAGAATGCCATTCAAGTGAAATGGCATACTCCTTGTGCAAGGCCCTGTGTTGGATTCCTGGCACTGAATTTCCCCTTCTGGCCCTCAATGCCAGCACTACCAGTAGTGATCACACAACAATAAAAATAATAATAAAATAAGGGAAGCTTGTATTATATACATTTACTTCAAGTCTGACATGAATACATTAGTCTTTCACAATCCTTGGTAAAACATCTTTATTTTCCTCTTTAATGAATTCCCTTGGGAACTGACAGACACAGATGAAGGTTTACAAAAAAATAAAAATAAATAATAATAATAAAAAACAAAACAATCATTCGAGCTAGAGAAATACTGGCGTACAAGGGGCAAAGTGCTCACCTTGCATGTGTCAAACCTGACTGAAATCTCCAGCAACAGTAGGAGTGATCCCTGAGCACAGAATCAAGAGAGTTAGGCCTGGGAACCACTGAGTGAAACCCCTCTACTTACCCCAAAGAAAAAATCTTTTCTTTTTATAAGAAACAAGGGAAGAACCAATGATAAAGTACTAATTCTCATAATACCATAAAGCATTTCAACTCACATGTATTTCATAATAGACCTACCCAGTATTTAAGTAGAAGTCTTCTTTGTGTACAGCCAAGCAGATGACCTCATTGATATTTATGGTGCCATTAGGTGTCGTAGACTTATCATGTTCATAGTAACTCAGGAAGCCACCTTCAAAAACGCACCACTTTCTATTTGTCTCTAAGAATTTTAAAACAAAACAAAATCCAGCAAATCATTTACACGAATATATGGAAATAAATACATTTATTACTACCCTAGTTGGTGTTAACAGCATTCTATCGCTGCATGGAATAAGAAAGATTACACAATCTCTGCTCTCTTCATATAGAATCTATTAGCAAAGGATGCAGAAACAAAAAAATAAACAAAAGCCCAACATTATGGCACTCATCAGATCCATGGAAAGATTTCTGCAGAGTCTGAGATAGTCTGATGTCTGTGCAGAGCATAAGGTGGGGAAAATAGGGCAAAATTTCAGACTATAGCTGAGTGGGGTAAAACTGCCTACTTTACTGAGCTTGCTGTGAAAGCAAGCAGGCTGCAACAGAGGTTAAGACTAAATGGAAAGTGAGAAAGGGAACTAGTCAGGATAAATCAATAAGCGAGATAACAAAGGAAAGGATAGCATAAGGTCAAATGAAGGCAAGAGCCATGTAAGGGCAATGGCAGATGATAAAAATGCTTACAAAAATGAAGTCAGTAATTGTTTATATATATTATTTCAACAACAGAAAGGAAGACAGAGAATAACAAGATAGGGCTGGAGATAAGCAAAGCATTCAATTAAGTAGCACCCTGACAGCTAACTTGATTTCTCCAAGACAGGAACGAAGTACATCTACTGAGATACCTCCCCATCTATCTATCCCTTGTGTCAGTCGAAATGAAGAATTTCCCAGTGGAATCCTTACCACTATGTGATCTAAGAAGGAGGAACTGAAAATTCAAAGACCAAGGGTTCTGCCAGTGCATGCACCACTAATTGGATATCCTTGAAAAAAAAGTTCAACCATTCTATGCTTCCTGCTATCTGCAAAATAGAATAAAATATATACCTAATTCATAGGGGGATTGAAGAATGCAATACAGTGAAACACAGAGAACTGTGGTCCCAAAAACAATTAAAAATAAAAAGACTTTAAGGAAAAAGAAAATAATTATCCATGTTTTTTAATCGAAAAAATTTCAGGGGCTCAAACACCAAATTCCTTTACTATCTCTCTAGTTCCAAAAAATTGTTTTAAAAATAAGGTAAGGTAAGGTAAGGTAAAGGCCCACCCGTTGATCGTCGATTTGCTCGAGAGGGCCCAGTAACGTCTCCATTGGAGGCTTTGTTGTTACTGTGTCTGGCATATCAAATACTCTCGGTAGCTTGCCGGGCTCTCCGAGAGGGGCGGAGGAATTGAACTCGGGTCGGCCACGTTGGCCGCTTGTAAGGCGAACGCCCTACCGCTGTGCTATCGCTTTTGCTTTTTTTGGGGGGGGAGTCACTCCCAGTGATGCACAGGGGTTAATCCTGGCTCTGCACTCAGGAATTACCCCTGGCAGTGCTCAGGGACCATATGGGATGCTGGGAATTGAACCTGGGTCGGCTGCGTGCAAGGCAAACGCCCTACCCACTATGCTATCACTCCAGCCCCCCAAAATAAATAATTTTTAAGAAGAACTTCTGGAAAGTACAAGATTTTAAAAAAAAAGTACATTATTAGATGACTGATCTAAAAATCTGAACATCCAACTAATATGGACTATGAAAAAAGAAAAATGATCAAAGACAAGGTACCGACGATTAAAGAAACAACTATTGTTCCATTAGGCCTATGAATGTGTTCTACTTTACTAAATTAAAAGAACAGAAATAACTTTGGTTATAGGAATCACTAATTAATATGGCACACATTCCGATTAGGGTTCAACAAAAATGACAAGCACTTTAGGATAAGCAGAGACCAGCTCTCAGAGGCTTCCATGAGACATGTGCAACATCACATACCTCTCGGTGGACAGGTGAGAGCCTCAGGTCTTAATCAAAAACTGTCCAGGGAATGAGACATAAAAGTGACTACAGAATCTAATGATGTGCACTCTAATGGCAAACAAATGACAGAACTCTTCAAAAAGTGAGTGCAAACTCACCTTAAGTTAGACACATGAGACAAAGGAGATTTAGTCCTGCAGCATTATCATTTACCATAACCCTCAGTATCTGGGTTCTGATCATGGAAAATGGACCTGAGCTCCAATAGAATAGGATAGATAGTGTCTAAAGAGTTTTCTCTTTACATTTTAATCCTCTTGATTTATGATACTGCTAATGATACAATTTCATTACTTTCCAACCGCCCACCCTCCGCCGCAGTGTCCACTTTCCTTTAACTCTGTCCGAGGTTCTCTCTGATGTTCTGTTTCTCACCTGCACACCCACCCATACTGTCCCCCAGACAAAGCAAGTTCAGTTCTGTAGACCACTGCTGAACTTCTGTTGCCTTTGGCCATATGTCACTTCCTCAGCATGCTTCTTTATATCCCATGTATGATAGTGGTCATTCCCTCTCAGTCCCTCTCTTTTCGGCTGACTTTACTCAGTATGATTCTCTCCAGTCCCATCCTAAAGAAAACGAATTTTCTGACAGAAAATCCTGGCAATCCCATTCCTGTGGAATGCCACAAAAGAGATTCAAGAGATTTTGTTGTAGTCTATGGTCTAGTTAGGCTATTTTAGAAGTGCACAGGTGACCGAGGCTTTTATAAATGGCAGTACCCTCCATGATACACTCTCAAAGTATTAATCAGTTAACACAAACACCCAACAGAAACAAAATGGAGGTATAAAATAGATAACAACTAGGATGAAGCTATTGGAGGAGACAGGAACTTATGTACATGGTGGTTGGAGAGGCCGCGGGGATTGTTTGTTCTTTCTATTGAATTTCTATGTTTTGATCACAGAAGAAAACATGACTAGAATTTACTCAAGAATAGCTGAAGGACTCCAGAGATGACCTATTGAAATAGTACTGAGAAGTATAATATCATTTTGGGGCACCTCGCCTGTCAACTCCATTCTGTGGGCTACATCTAAACTTGAACATTAACTGGAAACCAAATGAACCCTGTGTACTCAGATCGCCCTTCTGTTGTTCATCACCCCTCATCCTCCTACTGATAGACCATGCACTCAAGTACACACTTTATATATCTGAACACAGTAGTTTTCAAGGTTTCAGTAGTTTTCAGTCTTCTTTTCTTTCTTTTTTTTGCCTTTTTTTTTTTTTTGCATTTTGGGTCACATTTGGCAATGCACAGGAGTTACTCCTGGCTCTGCATTCAGGAATTAATTACCCTGGTGATGCTCAGGGGCCCATATGGAATGCAGGGAATCGAACATGGGTAGGCCACGTGCTAGGCAAATGCCCTACCTGCTGTGCAATTGCTCCAGCCCCAATTTTTCAACCTTTCCATTCCCCCATATTTCAAATGATCCAAGGAGCAGCACAAAGGAACTCTGTCATTGAAGTGGCTATAACGCTTTTGAGAGCCATCAGACTGGCACTAGTATGTGGACCTGTAACTAAACTTCAATGCGACCCACTGAACCCTCAGGACAGGATCTGTTGTTACTATGTTTCTCTTCTTTGGACCCTGCCCACAGAGCAGCCTTCCTAAGGTTTGATATTTAGCATCAGATTCGAAGGTAGAACCCAAGGAGACAAATTCAAATGCTAGCTTCTTAGCCACTTCACATCCTATCTGTCTGTTATACATCAGAAGCAGGCTTGTCTCCTTAAAATACATATTGGGGTAGAGCAAAGGACAGCCCTTCTCCTACAACGAACAGGCACAATAAATCAGAGATAGTTATAGTCAAATTATCATTTTTCTAAACCATGAAGTTGTTTCCTGATGAAGAATTTCCAGAATTGACGGTATTCATCATCCACCAAAAAGAGAAGTACACACCAGGACTTCTTTTCATTTAAAATAAATTCTTCAGATGTAGAGAAATACTGTTAAACTACTCAAGCTAGGCATTTATAGAACAAAAGAGTTTCAAAATTCCCCAATGCCCAACTATGAAATTAGACAGAAGCAGATGAGATAGTCTCCAGTAAACCGTATAACCACTTCCTTTTAAAAACTCAGACACTGTGTCAACAAATCAAGGTACACCACCAAAGGAAAAAAAATACACTTGAGTGGGGAGGAAAAAAAAGAAGAAAAAACAGAAAACAAAACCAGGATGCTATTATTCAGCTCTATACTTAGGTTTAACAAGAGCTATCAATCTTGCTTTTCTTGAACACTAAATTGAGAGGGGAAAAAAAGAAAAATACAGATCCGTCTTCATAACCAGAGGCTAGAAGAACTTCAAGTTCTGAAAACCTGAACTGACAATCTGAAGCCTCTTAACTCCCTGAAGAACCACATGCATTTGATTCCTTGACTTTTTTCTTCAGTTTAATCATTTTGCTCCATGGCCCTGCTGACAAGCCTTGATGGAGTGGGGCAGTCCAGGTGCTTGGCGGACAGAGGCAAAGGTGACAACCATGCTTTAATTGCTTAAATCTCTCCAAATAATTCTTCTCCCCCCCATAAAGCTGGTGCTGCTTGATAGGGCTGACATCACCACAGAATTTTGAGAGAGGAGGGAAAACACACAAGCCCAAAACTTTGTTTCCTGATAGCCCGCTGCTCTTCTTCCATTTTAACTAGACTCTTTTCAAACAAAATATATTCTGTGCAAGCAATGTAATTTGGGGGAAGGGGAGCCACACTCAGCAGTGCCTAGGGCTTACTGCTGACTCTGTGCTCACTCCTTGCAGTGCTTTAGGGGACCCTATGTCATGAAAAGGGAAACGTCTTACCCCTGTACTATCTCTCTAGCCCAGCAATGATCTTTTTCTACACTGATCAAAAGAATTTTATACATAGATCAATATTTGCATTTTCATGCTGATAATAATATGACCAAAGAATGGTCAGTTATGGGGCAGGGATGTAGCTTAGCTGCAGAGTACCAGAGTGCACAGACCAGGCCCTGAGTTCAGTAACAGCTCTGCAGAAAACATGAAAGACAATGGCTTATGGTCAATGCACACAAAGTCCAAAATGCTACTAAATGAACTGGGAGAAGGGACAGTGGTGCAGTGATATGGGATTCTGGTGGAGGCATGGAGCAGTAGCACTTCAAACATAATAATATTCATAATAAAATTAACTACACATTGAATGGTGGAAGTCAGTTCACTGATTATTTAAGTATCTCGCACTCACAACCTGCTCACCAGTCAACTTCTTACTACTCAAGTGTTAAGTACTAGCAGAAACAAAAGAGAATGTGAAGAAAATCTAATTGTCTATCACACATTAGTCAATATATAAAGAAATGAAGACAATGTAAAAAAATACATTAAACTCCAATTTGGGGACTGGAGATGTAGCATGTGCTTTATGCAGAAAGGCTCCTTCTGGGTTCTGCCCCCAACATGCATCAAAGAGCAGAGTAAAACCTATATTCACTATTTTAAAAAATAACAGCTGCGGAAATCGCAAAAAAAGTATCTGTATTCAAAGGATGACACTCTGCCATACCAGTGCCAAAGGCCACCACACTTTTACCAAGGTCAAAATGTTATAATACCAATTAGACACAAATCAGATGTAAAATTCTCTTTCATGTTCTGCTCCTGTATTTTTCATAGAAAATCGGTAGAATATCAACTACCTTGCAACATTTTTGTGAAGATTATAATTAAAATATGTAAAGTACCTAAAGCAATGCCTCACACATAGTACAAGTTCAATGGAGAACAGCTACTGTGTTCAGGATATTTTAATAAAGTATAGTTAATTCCAATATAATCCTGCTTAGGGATATCATTTTTAAGGGCAATAAAGCATTTATAATAAAATAATCATTGCAAATGCACGTGGATCAGGATAGCACTCCAAAGTTCCTTCAAGCAATATTGCTGGATTATAGCACCTGAAAAATTAATACCTGGCTCCAGGCCCTCTGAATGTACATCATCAATTGACCAGTACAATTTAATCTCTCTGATACTCTCTTTGTTCTAGTAAGACAGGTCTCATTACATTATTGGCTGTCAGTATTTTTAAAATTAGTCTGAATATATGTCAAAAAAGCATGAGGCCAATGTCTTACTCATTTTTGTATTCCTAATGCCTTCCACATGCAAAGCACAGGAGCTGGCTGGCTGGATAGATAAAAGCCTACTGAGAATTCTATGCAGATAAATACCCACACCAAGTTATTCAAATAAATCCCTATATTTGGGGGGAGGTAAACCATGTTTATTTAGCTTTCTCTCTTTCTCTCTCTCTCTCTCTCTCTCTCTCTCACACACACACACACACACACAACACAAACACCCTACTTAGAATCAGAAGAAAAAAATCTAATACCACTTAGTATGCTGCTAGAACATATAAAGAGAGCTCAGCTTTTTCCTACATGTTGACATTTATCTCTTTTACCTCTCTAGTTAGACTATTCTTTCCTAAGGGAAAGGGCTAAATTCTGAATTTCTGTGGCATAATCCTCACATCCTGAAATAGAATTGGTTGGCCCTAAGGTAGACATCAGTGAATCCTACTGAGAATTCACTCAATGTTCTAGCACAGCGGTAAGTCCCTGTTGCAGTACATGAAATAATATCTGTGCCCGAAAGCATTTATAAATCCTCAAAGAAATATTTTTCTTTTCCAAGATCAAATTTAACATCTTAAAGGGAAAAAAATCAAAATTTAAACCTAATTGTTTTGATAATAAAATATAGCTTTATCAGATAACAGAAGCCAAAAAAGAAACAGAAAAATACCTTCAAGCACTTTTTTCTCTGAAGAGAGTTTAGAAGCAGCAGAAGGAACCTGATATAGAAAATCACAGAGGAACACAGACTGGGAGGACTCTTGACTTAATCCACCTTCAGAGTGAATGTCATGTTGCGGGAAGTCTAGAAAAATTACAGAAATAATGTGGTTGAAATCCAAGAGGTAAACAAAGTTTTTGGTGCTTATAAATATGTAGGTGAGTTTTGAACCAGAAGAAAGCCTATTACAATTTTACCCCAGAATAAACATACTGAGATATTTATTTCACTCTGCATAAAAATTGCAAATAGTATATAAATTGGGTTCATTATTCATATATGAAAATCGGATTTAATTTCGGTGAAGGTGATTATATAGGATTAACTATTTTAATCTTCCATTTACAAGATTAAAGAAACAGAATGTATTTATTTCCCAAACTTTCCTTGAAGTGAATTAAAACAAAGTATTACGCATCTTTCATCTTTTTGGGTAATAAGATCTTTTTTGGTAACTCTGACAATTATTTCTATTGGAAAATAAACCTGTGCTTCAGTACTTTTAGGGACGTATCAGCAGAAACCAGGCTGACACAGAGATTGTTACTAACCTGAGAATTTGTTATGGTAGAGAAATTCCATTTGCAGGGTTTGCCCTGCCTTCTTGGCCAGCAGATAGGGGGTGCTATGCGTGGGGTCCCCGGTTGCACACATAACGTCTGCTCCACTGAAGAGCAAAGCCATTGTTTCCAGAACGTCTGCCTTCACTACAGCTGCGCAGAGAGCCTGGTTGTCAAATGAAAATAGACCTTTTAGAGGAAAGACATGCATGACTCGACCTATAAAAACAAAACGTCTCACAATTCACTTATGTGAGGATTTTTATCTTTACTTCCTATTAAGGAAACTAAAAGTAATTATGTCTGGAAACAAGCAACAGGCACCAAAGGCCTGCCTGTGAGAACTTAAATGACAACCCAAGACCTGAAATTCTCAACTGTTTTGCTATTGTGTGATACCAAGGCTCCTAGCCCAGTTTATTTTGTCTTAGAAGACATATTTATGCTTATACATAATAGTAGTAGATGCAGAAAAAATTCAAAATATGGCCAATGTAAGAATGGACAATCCACGACATACTTAGCCATATCAAGGCCAGGTATGTGCCATACTTACTTTCCAGTGTAATCAAGATCTACATTTCTGCTGTGCTTTGGGAATCTCAGGACAAATTTAGGATGTTCAGCTTTTGTGGAGGAGTAGTTGAGGGATGGGAGGGAAGAACAGCGAGCTCGAAACATACCCCTCCATACGAACACCTGAACGCCCCTGCACCTGCTAGACAGTCCATGCCCCTCCCACACCTTGTTGGCATAAAGCCGCAAATACCAACTCCAGCACCCGTGCCAACTAGCAAAGGCCAAAATAAATACGTTAAACCAAATCAAATCGAATCAAACACAGTGCCGCGTGCTGGAACAGTCAAAGCAGATCAAAGGTCTCAGTCAGCAAGCTTCAGCTGCTGCTCCACGGAGGCTGCTGCTCTCAAGGTTTTATTTATTTATTTATTTATTTTCCGATCACACCTGCCCATGCTCAGGGCTTAGCCCTGGCTCTGCACTCAGGAGTCACTCTTGGTAGGCGCTCAGGAGACCATATGTGATGCTGGGGATCAAACCAAACCTGGGTGGGCTGCATGCAAGACAAGCACCTGACCCACCATATTAACTCTCTGACCCCTAAAGCTTCTTAAATCACAACCCCACAACAGGGCCATACAACTGATAATGAGTGGACAAAAAGACGTTTAAAAAACAGGTAAAACATTTTTTTATAATCTATTATTAGGAAATGTTTGACTTATAGACCAAATTTATATCTCCATATACTGAGATCATGTAAAAAAGTTCCTGGACAAGAAGTTGTGCGTAGAAAAAGGTTAAAACCCATTCTCTCAGTAACTAATCTGGATAAATTAAAAGAAAAGTTGGGGAAAAGCAATAGTACAGAGAGAGTAGGGAATTTGCCTTGCACATGCCTAGTATGGGTTCAATCCCTGGCACCCCAGCACTGTCAAGACTAATTCCTGAGTGCAGAGTCAAAAGAAACCCCCAGCATTTCCGGGTATGCCGCAACCACCCTAAAACATCCCCATTAAAAAAAATCAATTAGAAGAACTATGAAAATTTGTTTTGTTTTGTTTTGTTTTGTGTGGGGTGGGGAGACCACGGAATTCAGGGCTTACTTCTTGCTCTGAGATCTCTCGCAAGGTCTCAGGACCTTGTGCCATTAACAAGGCATTAACAAGGCAGCTGCCTTGCCTGCTATATTCTCATTCTGGCCCCTAAAGTAAAGAAATATAAAGTAGAAGCAGAGGCATAAAAAAAAAAGCATGTAACAGCAACCTGAGTCAAGGGAATGCAACATCAAAAGGAAAATAATATCCAGAATATAAACTGGAAGGCAGAGAAGATTACATATTCCTATAAAACAGAGTTCAAAATATCTATGACTACAATAAAGAAAGACAAAAGGTAGAAGAAAACTCAAAAGCTCAGGTCAAAGTCATTCCAGATAATTCAGAAAAGCTGATTAAAAAAAAAATAGTGAGCTCAAAAATAAACAGAAGATCAATATGGAGGCTTTATATAAGAAGGCAATTATTCAGGGTGTAAAAGCCTCAATAGGATTCAAACCCGAGTCAGCTGGAAGCAAGGCAAGAACCTTCTCTGCTACACTATCTGCCCTGAACAAAAGACTTTACAAATTACAGTGTTTTTATTTAAAAAAAAATTTAAGTTACACCCCCAAAAAGAATGAATCCTAAGTATATCATCCTTAAGATATACTGCAGCATTATAACACTGTCCTCCCATTATTCATCAATTTGCTCGAGCGGGCCCAGTAGCATTATGAGACTTGTTGCTGTGTTTGGCATATCCAATACATCACAGGTAGCTTGCTAGTCTTTGCTGTGTGGGTGAGATACTCTCAGTAGCTTGCCAGGCTCCCCGAGAGGGACGAAGGAATCGAACTTGGGTCGGCCAGGTGCAAGGCAAAAGCCCTACTGCTGTGCTATTGCTCCAGCCAATACAAAGAGGGAAATTTTCCTTTAGGCAAACTAAGTCATCAAAAGAGCAATGTAAATCAACTTAATTTATCTTGAAATTTTTAGAGAACAAATTATTTTCCAAAATGTTCCAAAATGCTACTCCCCAGGTATCCTTATCCAATAAACCCTACCACTGGAAACATATTAAAGAACTGAAAGATCATAAATCCTGGGCCAGCAGGTAAACTGTAAGATTTGCACATGGTCAATCTGGATTTGATACCCTGCACTTGATATGGTCCCTGGATCCCCTCCAGGTGTGATCCCAGAATATAGAGGCAGGACTGAGCTTTGAAACACAGGTGGGGATGACACCAAACCCAAAACATAAAACTAAAAACAAAGAACTATAGAAGAACATATACTGTATAAATAAAAACAGTTGGCATAGAAAAATACATGTATTGAATAGCTATACACAGAAGAATCTCCTGACATAAAGGTATCAGAGTAACAATTTTGAAGAAGAAGAAAGTCTAAGTGAAGGGGTGTGTGTGTGTGTGTGTGTGTGTGTGTGTGTGTGTGTGTGTGTGTGTTTGCACGCGTATGCACATGCGCACATGCACGCAGTGCAGGAGTGAATGATTAACAAGTTATCTGTTAGAAGAGAGAATACCAACTAGGCTGCATGTAACAGTCAAGAGAGAACCTGGAATTCCTCAAAGACAAATGAAACTTCAGCAGCATGACAAACACTGCTGCAGACACTTAACCAAGTATTCTAAATTAGTTGACACCAATTCATTGATGCATTAGCAGAAGTTATATTCAGCACCCTGACCCTAAAAGAGAAAAGTTGTTAAAGTTTCAAGGTCACGAGAGGCCCGGAGTTAACTGGAAAACAGTGATGGAGTAAGAGTTATCCACTAGTGTTAATAAATCCTCAAGTGCAATGACAAAACACTCGTATGATCTGACCAAGGGAAGTAAATCAACAATTCCATCAAGAAGGCTTTCTGCTTATTTTCAAAATGCCTTGCACATATTTAAAAAGCCATTAAAATCCATGGTTATTTTCCATGTTTTTATGTTACCTTATTTAATTCTTCCTTCGTGAGAGATGCCAAGAGCGTTTTCCTGAACCTTCCTTCTTTGTACTTCTGGGTGATAAAGTTTTTTCTCTTTTCTACTGGGGAATCCATGTGCAGTTCTTCATCTTTTTTAAGATTACCAGCCCAAAAGTCATTTGCTCTTTTGTTTCCAATCACAATAAAAAGCTGAATTGTAAAAAATTAATCAGATCACAGTTAACATAAAATGAACCTCAATATGCAAAAAACAGTGACCCTCACTGCATTATTAAAGCATAATCATCTTCAAAACACAAACACATGAGACATTCAACACTTAAAAAGATGAAATAAGTGTGAAAGCAGATACTATCTTAATTGGGAAAATAGGCCAAGAGAGGGATGGAGCTCAAGGGACAGAGGACATACCTCACATTTATAAACTCCTGGGCTCAATCCTCAACACTACACAAAATAAAATTAAATTAAAATTGAATAAATGCAGCCTAAGTGTCTTCTAAAGGGCTAGCCGAGAAAGAAATTGCAAACAACAAAATTGGAGCAAAGCTTTATTATTTTTGAAGCACACGCTGAGAGAGAGTCATTTAGAAGTGGCTGAAAAAGTGCACTAATGTGATCAGGTCAAGAGAGTATACCAAAACCCCAGAAGAAAATGAAAATAGGAAAGAGCCTGTTAGACATGATTGCAGTTAATGACAAGGCAAGTCAGAATAAAGAACTGTAAGTCTTGCCAATGTTTTCATTCACTTTTCAGCATTTCATCCATGCTGGGTTAAAAAGGGAAATGAATTCTGGCTTAAAAAAAATCCAACAAACCTCTAAAAGTAAGTATACTATTAGTGCTTCTACCACATTTTGTTTTTAGCATAACTGTACTTTGGGAGATACCCAGGAAGCTGAAATTGAAAGCTACCACCATAAATAGGCTACATGGCATTTTTATAATCGCATTTATCAAAAAGAACCCATGCAGTAGATGGCAGGCCATCAGGCCTGGACTGACTCTATGTGTTCCCCACACCCAAGTTCTGCTAAGCAATCCCACAGTCCCCGAAGGCTCACCTCAATAAGCTCATTGCTCCAAATGCTGGCATCCATTTTCAGACTTCTAACCTTGGAGTCTTTTGGACCTAAAGATCTATGTTGCCCTGGAATCAAAAAGCAATTACATCTCCATTTTAATTTGTACAAAGATGTATTTTACCTTTAAAGAACATGTACCAATGTATGCATATATATGCACATATATATATATAGATATATGTGGAGAAAGAGAGAAAAAGAGAGAGAGGGAAAGAGGAGATAGGTAGATATTTTCAAATTAAAACACAACAATACCATGAAACACCACTGACCTAGCAAAGAGGGGATTACCATCTAGGATATACAAGACACTGGTGGAACTTTACACGAAAAAAACCTCCAAGCTATCAAAAAATGGGGAGAAGAAATGAACAGAAAATTCCTCAAAAAAGATATAAAAATAACAAAAAAAACACACACAAGAAAAAATGCTCTACATCACTAACCATCAGGGAAATGCAAATAAAAACACCAATGAGATATCATCATATACCACAGTTTTCAAAAAATAAAAAATCAGAACAAGAAGATCCAGTGTTGGCGCAAATGCAGGGAGAAAGAGACTCTCATTCATTGTAGGAATAATGACTGGTTCAGTCTTTTTGGAAAAAAATATGGTCATTCCTCAAAAAACTAGAAATTAAGCTCATGACCCAGCCATATCACTTCTGGGACTATATTCTGGGAATGCAAAAGTGCACAGGAGAAATGTCATCTTCATGTGTGTGTTTACTACAGCACTGCTCACAATAGCCAGAAACTGGAAACAACCTGAGTGCCCAAGAACAGATGATTGGTTAAAGAAACCATGGTGCATCAACATAAAACTATTATAAAGCTGTTAGAAGAGATGAAGTCATAAAATTTGCATGTAAATGAATGAGCATGGAGAGTATCATGCTAAATGAAATGAGTCAGAAAGAAAGAGACAGACATAGAATGACTGCACTCATTTGTGGACTATAAAATAACATACCATGAGACTAATGCCCAATGACAGTAGAGACAAGTTTCCAGGGGTAGTGCTCCACGGTTGGAAGCTTGTCTCATATGCTGGAGGAAAAGGTAGTTGGGATAGAGAAGGGACCACTAAGTCAATGATGGTTGGAGGGATCACTTGGGATAGGAGATGTAGACTAAGCACCAAGCACGATGACCTTTTAGTATCTGTATAGTAAACCATAATGGCCCAAAGTAGAGAGAGAGTAAGAAGGAAGGTGCCTGCTACAGAGGCAGGGGGTGGGATGGGGTGGGGTTGGAATTGGAGCTAACAAAGTGGTGAGAACACTTATTGGAACAGGAATGAGGAGGTTGAGCACAGAATATCAAAGAAAATAAAGAATATTACAATAAATTAACAAAACGGGTGCACATATTCCTCTTGAAAGTGTCTTGTAAGGGTCAGAGAGATAGTTCTGAGGGATACCTCAGGACAGGTTTTGAACATAGGAAGTTCAGGTTCCAGTCCAGACAATACATGGTGGCAGTAGTTGGAAGCCTGCCTCAATTATTCTGGATGAGAAGGCAGTTAGGATGGAGAAGGGACCACTAAGTCAATGATGGTTGAAGGGATTGCCTGGATGGGAGATGTGTGTTGGAAGTAAACAAAGCACCAAATATAATGGCCTCTCAATATCTGTACTGCAAACCATAATGCCCAAAAGCAGAGAGAGAATAAGAAGAAAGGTACCTGCCACAGAGGCAAGGAGGGTTAGGTTGGGGGTGGCAGGAAGGATACTGGGGTCATTGGCAGTGGAAAATGTGCACTGGTGGGGGAATGGGAGTTTTATCATTGTATGACTGTAACTCCATCATGAAAGGAAGCAATAGCACACAGTGTGTAGGGCATTTGCCTTGCATATAGCCGGCCGGAAAAAAAAAAAAGTTAGTGGCAGGAACCCTCTTAGCATAGAGCATAGAACTAGGAGTGACACCAGAATGTTATCAACTATAGCCTAACTCTCTCTCTCTCTCTCTCTCTCTCTCTCTCTCTCTCTCTCCCTCCCTCTCTCCCTCTCTCTCTCTCTCTCTCTCTCTCTCTCTCTCTCTCTCTCTCTCTCTCACACACACACACACACACACACACACACAAACATTGGCTGCCTACAAAAGGAAAAGTAAAAAGATAAAGGGAAATTAAAAGGCCTAAAAAAACTGGAGTTTATCAGTAAGCAAAAAAGAAACCATGGCTGGATGCTTACCCATGGAGTGCATAAGTAATGAGCTGCCAACCCTAAGAAGTAAGGAATGACAGAAAAGTAAGAAAGATCAACCATAGACACATTAGGATTTCTCTTCCAGTGAGAAGATGGAGGGAGAAAGGACAAGGAAATATGCAAAGCGGAGAAATTTATTAATATTTTCTGTTGTCATTATTGACAGAGTTAATGAAAAGATCTTTATGATGAGAGAAATATTAGTACAGAATTCCAGAAATAAATCAATGTTGCTCAAAGCAACTTTCTTTTATTTATTTATTTATTTTTTTATTAGTGAATCACCGCGAAGTACAGTTACAGACTTGCAAACTTTGGTGCTCCTATTTTAGTCGTACAATGCTAGAGTACCCAACCCTCCACCAGTGCCCATTAGCTACCACCGATGACCCCAGTGTCCCTCCCCCCAGCCTATTTCCCCCACCCCACCCTGCCTCTGTGGCAGGGCACTCCCTTTTACTCTCTCCTTTAGAGTGTTGTGATTTGCAATAGAGTGGCCATAGTGTTCAGTCCATAGTCTACTTTCAGCACGCCTCTCCGTCCTGAGTGGATCCTCCACACACCCTTTACTTGGTGCCCCCTTTCCTATCTGAGCTGATTTTTACCCCAGCATATACTGCTAGCTTCCAAGTCATGGAGCAAACCTCCTTGTATCTATCTCAACTATTCTTGGGTGTTAGTCTCCCATTCTGTTACTTTATATTCCATGGATAAACACAATCTTTCTATGTCTGTCCCTCTCTTTCTGTCTCATTTCACTTATCATGATACTTTTCACGTAGAACCACTTGTATGCAAATTTCATGACTTCATCTTTTCTAACTCAAAGCAACTTTCTTTAGCTTTACTTTAGTAGGTGATCAAATGCCCTGTTGGCTGTTTAGAGCCAATTTGCCAGTATTGTATGGTCCACAAATGATGTCATAAATATTCAAATGTTCCCAGCCCCTATGTGGTCTAGGATCTCATACGTAGTAAGCTGGGGTCCATTTCCCCCTCGTTCCCCGGGGCACTGTATAACTGGGTATCCCCCAATATACAACAAGTCCAAATACTTGCTTACTTTTATAAAAGTCAACCATCTCTGAAAATCCTTCTGTATAATCATTCCAATTATGAGGTATCAGATTTATTGAAATAATTTAAAGCTCAGAACAAATTTGATGTGAAAAACACCTTACAAAATATAAGTGAGGGAAAATGGACAATTCACATAAATATGTGATCATGTTCAGTGTGCATTCTGAAACACACCTTAAAAACCTATAAATTGCAAATGTCTTTTCAAAATTCATACATGGACCAATGGGCACAAAATAATCATTCCATGCTTAAAAATCAATTTTTACATCTAAGTCCTGCAAAAAAATTGTTTAGAATTATACTTTCAGTTTGATTTAAATGTAATAAGTGTTGTCTGCTTTTATTTTTTTATAACCACTAGCTGGCCCGCATTCTAGATGCGAATACAGAGCACTGAGAGCCAATCTGCCACCAGGCTGTGATGAACATAACTTATCACTAATTACCTGCACACTTCTTACAGATGACAACACAGAGATTGATGGATGCCCAGTCAGGATCCGGGGCTTTACAATCTGCACAGCTCCTGTTGGACTCATTGAACCAAATCTTCTCAGCTACTTCATAATCAGAGAGAGTTTCTGCTATCGATTGCTGCACAGCTTCAATCCACTCCTGTTTTTCTTTTTCAGACTCTGCTGTAAAGCTGAAACAATTAACGTTTCTGCATTATCGATCCCCCTTGTAAAGGCCAATTAAACAGTATGTTCAGTTTGCATATTCATTTCACTCACAAATTAAACAGCAGCTGAAAAATATGCCTTCCAGGCAGATGGATAGTCTTTTTTGTTAAAATCATCTAACAATCTATTTTCTTACTTCAACATTCCACACTACTTATGATTTTGTTGACAAATCTTGAGCTAGAATCAACATACACGTTTGTATGATCAGGATATATAAATTGAGCCATTAGATCAAAAGTTTAAGTGAAAGGTCATGTTTCTGAAGCAAAGGTTATATATTAATCAACAGAAGTCTGGCAGAGTTTCAGGACTACTGGATTATTTTGCCAAGAAAGTATACCATGATACAGACTACCATGAAACTTAATTATCAAAAACCCATCAGAACTTTTAATTTTTTTCAAAGTCATAAAAATAGAGGTTTTTTTTTTAATCAGAAGACTATCCAGATGGCTTCAAGAAACTGAGAAATCCAAAATGTTTTAAATGATTACTATTCCAACAGTATTCAAACTCATTTTTAGCTGTGCTCTCATTTTTCTTTATTCTAATGCACAGTGTTTGTTGTGTGGCTCAGGGAAGGATTAAAACATTAAACATAAGTTCACTCTTTCAAGAACTTACTGAGTAGCTACAAAGTACTCTATACTTGGTCAATGACCCACTAAATGATTTTGGTTCGCATTAAAATGTTCCACTTGGAAAATTGAAATGAGAAAAAAAAAAAGGGCCGGAGCGATAGCACAGCAGGTAGGATGTTTGCCTTGTACACAGCCAACCCGGGTTTGATCCCTGGCATCCCATATGGTCCTCTAAGCACTGCCAGGAGTAATTCCTGAGTGCAAAGCCAGGAGTGAACCCTGAGCATTGCTGGGTGTGACACAAAAAAAGAAAAAATAAATAAAATTGAAATGGTTTGAAATATTTTAAATAATGAAATTAATTGATGACTAAAAATCTTAATCACAAAACTAATAACTACCTACATGGATTAGACACTTGAAAGCTTTTATGACTCTATCATGACTACAATAGTCACACACTTCTACACTTCTAAGTGATTTCTACCAGTCAATATGGTACAAAGCAAAAATAGATATTTAAATTTTTGGCCTAGTTTGTAGAACCCAACTCTTAAAATCTCTTGGAAAATTTGAGTGTCTTTTGTAGTCTACTGAGATCATTTATAATTTGGGGCTTAGAAAACTTCAGGAAGGTAGCTGGTCATCAGCAAATTCAAAGTATAGTTAGAGAAATGTAGATTATGAGAAAAATAAGTCCTAACCCCACAACTGGAGAGGAGGGCAGTGTTGGCAACATGGATTAATAAAAAAAAAAATGGTGTGGGATTTAATCAACCATTTCTGCGTAAAAAGGTGTCCATGAAAAATGGGTCTGGAAAACTGGATGGGGGAGCAGAGGAGGTATAGGAAGAATAAATCTCTAACCCCACCAAGGGCACAAAGAACCCCACCCTGTTTTCTCACACCGTGTAAACTATAAAACCTGAAAATAAAGTAATCAGAAGATCCCCTACACTGGAGCCAAGTTGGACAGAGTATGGCTATGTATGGAGCCAACACTTGTACTAGCTCAGAAAAAAGGCATTCTGGTGGGACTGAACACTTAAATCCTGAGCATGTAGTACTTACTCTATGGAGCCAGGGTCATAATGAAATTTAATTTCAGGGCAACTGGAAGATATGCGGGAAGGCAACTGGATGGTAACTGGAAAATGTGAGGGAAGCTGCATATTCTTGATATAAAGTGTGGCTTCTACTAGGTATGGGACCCAAGCACCACCACCACCAAAACATTAGAAACAGAGAAAGTATTTTGAGTAAAAATTATTAAATTAAACTAGTTATCGGCACTTTCAGTTGACTCTTCATATACGAAAACAAAAATGCAGTCCTTAAATAACTATTTTCTTCTCAAACTATGAGACCATAGATAGAATTTGATAGATAAAATGAAAACTGGAGCATTTCTGAAACTGCTAAGCGATTGTTAATCCCTCAAACAACTATCTTTGACCTGTATAAGAAACAAATTAACCCGTGGCTGAATTCCACAACAACGTCTTGCGCTTCTTCTGTGAAAAAAAAGTTATATATAGCGTAACAGATTATCAAATACATCACGTGCTTTAAAATGTTTTGTCTGGTCCCACAATACCCAAAAGGAGAGAGAGAACAAAAGGGAACACCCTGCCACAAAGCAGGGTGGGATGGGGGAATGGGTGTGGGACGGATACTGGGATCCATGGTGGTGGAAAATGGGCACTGGTGGAGGGATGGGTACTTGATCATTGTATAATCGAAACCCAAGCACAAAAATTTGCAAATCTACAACTGTACCTCATGGTGTTTCACTAATAAAAATTTTAAAAAAATGTTTTGTCTGGTCATAATGAAGTAATTACTAGACTACTAAAATATAAGACACATAAAATTCCAAAATATTTTATCAGTAACTGCCATAAATGCTATAAAATTCAGCATCAATTTAAGTTGCAGTGCCATTTAGGTAATCATTATGAAGCAACTGTAACTACGAAGTATCCCAAAGATGGGATATACTTATTAGGCTACAGTTAGTTTAAAAAAACAAGAGTACAGATTAAAGAAATAATAATATTCACTTCTTATATCTTTAAAGTGTGAAGAAATTTTTCTTGTCTACTGATAAAAAATTACCCAAGCCTCCTAATAAAAAGATGTATTAAGAAATGACACTAAGTCTCAAGAAATTTGTAACTTTTCAGGTTTAATGGTCATTCAAGTTGCTTTTAAAAGGTGTAATGGTTTGTTGATAAAACAGACATTACAGGGAAAATACATAAAAACAGGCAACTTTTAACAAATGAAATCACTGAAAGCAATAGAAATTGATAACTCAAGTATTCCTATATTAATAGAAAGATGATGTGTTGAAAAATAACTTACCTAAAACTCCTATAGGGAGTAATTATTTCAAAAGATTGTTTCACAGTTCGGTCTACTTGCTTCACATTTGCTACATTCATTGGAATGATGGTAATACCAAGTCCACTCTTAAAATCCTAGTTTGGAGATAAGCAGTTATCAAGAAAATAAGAAAGGATCTCAAAACTTAATTTTCTAAAATTCAATAAATTCTACCAAATTTTACTACCCATAAGTAAGAGATAGTAAACTACCCATTAAAATTTACAACATAATATCTAATCAAAATGATTTTGGAATTTATTAGATAACTGCAATACTTTAAAAATATATAATAGCCAGAGCAATAGGACAGCAGGTAGAGAGCTTGTCTGGCACTCCATATGGTTTCCCAAGTCCCACCAGAAGTGATCCCTGAGCACAGACCCAGGAGTAAGCATGGCTCTGCACTCTTAGCATGGAGCTAGGAGAATGCCCTGAGCACAGCCGGATATGGCTCAAAAGTAAAATAACAAAAATTAAAAATTTATAATAAAGATGTGCCTTAAAAATGAACTAACTATAACAATATTCAGATTAAATGTGCTGCAATTTTTTAGATTTTAACTAGGAAAAAGCAGCTATACTTGAAACTAAACGCACGCGCGCGCGCGCGCGCGCACACACACACACACACACACACACACACACACACACAATTGGTCCATATCAAATGCAGGCATCTCTGGCAGACTGAAACAAGCATTTTGCAGGCCATCTTCTCTCTGTCTCCTCTGAAACGTAGAGGACAACTGTACTATCTCCCCATCTCCCTTGCCATAAGGGAGGACAATATGTCACAAATGGTCAATAAAATATACATAATTCCCAGCTTTGAGTAAGCAGCTGGAAGGACTTACGGCACAGGGAGGTTTGGGAAGAAGAAAGACTTTTACCCCTTGCCTTTCCATCTTTTTGGGAAATAACCTCTTGAAACAAAGAAGCCATTTCAAAATATTAGAATTCTTGAGATGAAAAGCCTGAGGATAAGTTTGTGTACTCTTAGGATATCAGAGTGAAAAGTAAAAGATATTGGAAGAACTCAGTTCCCTCTATCTTTCCTCCATTACCTCCTCCAAGAGATGTGCTAATACAAATAAGCCATGATCCATGCATAGCACCTCTCCAGATTTTATCATTTAATAGTAATATATTTAAAGATGGATAAAATACGTGAAATAATAAAGTTATAACAAATTTTCACCACTCATAAAGGTGTGCAGAGGTTTCACTTACAGACTGTAAAACAGTTTTATTTAAATACAAATGCACAAGTTTTTAGTTAGAAATAAGGATATGGCTACTTTGTAAAACTGTCAACTATTATATTTTCTGATGAAAGAACAACTGGCTTGTTTTGTTAGGAGCAGTAGGACAGAAATTTAGATTCAGTAATAAAAACGAATCATACTGACATTGGACTTTATAGATTATATTACAATAACACTTAATAAAAAACAATAAAACAGAAAGTTGAAAGAAGCAAAGGCATGCTTAGCATTCCAAAATAGACAATGCAACATACTTCCACTTTATACTGTAAACTACTAAATATAAAGTAGTACTTAATGCCATCTATAGAGGTGGAGGGAGAATCAAGTTTATCCATCTCCTCATTTGAATAAGTTTCTGCACAATGGCATAGTGTTATACTTATCACACTTTTTAAAAGTCTCAATTATCCATACCAATACTTCAACTGGGTAAGATACCTGCTGGAAAGTATCTAATGCATACAAAGCATGTGACATACATCACTTTTATTTAAATTAATAATAATAATAATAAAGCAGAGATCACAGGTAAAATTTCAATAAGGCAGTTATATGATGATCCAGCTTGATACAGGCATGACTGCAGAATGAAACACAAAAAAATTTCTTCAAATAATCCTCCATAATAAGTCTTTCAACAAGAGTTAGATGTGAGATCACTCCTGGTTAAAACCTCTAGTGGGGGTAGGAGGGGAGGGGTGTGACCTGCAGTTACAGTGGGCAAAAATACATACTCAAACCATCAGGCTAGCAGATGGCAAGACTGACAATCTTTCATGAAAACTGACGAGCTTCATCAATGCTACAGCCTGAATATATGGCCACCCATTTCAACAAGTAAGTTATCTGAAAGGTCTACATAGAAAGTTGCAAGTTCTGTTCAAATCAAAGTTAAGTGATGGTCTGCCCCAAGCCCCAGCTTCTTCCAAAGCAAAGCCAGGGATGCTTTTTTCTGAGTCTGGAGAAAAAATTGTAATCCATTTATCAGCTGCTGACCACAGCCATATGGTTCTGAGTAATTTGTGTGTCCACTGAACGCACCAGCACAAATGGACTGTAAAATGTACACCAGGGTAAAAAAATAAATGCCAGTGCTCTCAAGTACTATTAATTATGAAAACTATAACTACTATTAAAAAATATTTGTGATGACATCAAGTCATCTTTACAGAACATATTTAGAACACTTCTATCTTAAATTATCATCCAAATTATTGGTGTTGATCTCCCCTCTGCCCCCTACTTCTCCTGACTCCATGAATCAGAGGGCAGAACTGAAGAATTTTCTAGTTACAAGTCAAAGCATAACTGTAAATAAGTCACTATTGATATTCACATACAGCTAACATAGAACACTGGACTGAAAAGGCAAAAGAATTTGGACAGCTTGAGTCTGCAGTATTTAAATATCAGGATACGAATGCCCATCTCTGTCTTCTGCAGAGCAATGATACAGCCTGCAGTAAAATGATACAAAATCCATTTGAAATAATAAAAACTGCTGGTTAAAAAATAGTTTGGACAGAGCAGTGGCACAATAAATTGTGAAGATCCTGGGTGTTAGCATTCATAGGTTCAAAAAGCATCACCCTGCATTATACAGTTTACTCTGGAATTGCGTCAATAGCTATTTGCATGGTGCTCCAAAGCTTACAAAACCATTTGAACTCTCATTTGATTTTCTAAGTCTGTAAAGAAGCTTGAGTAGATACAGGCTTTTAAGAACTGAATATGTGCACTGGCAAAATAGTGTTCACTAAGTTATTTTGTGTCAGAGATTGTATGAGGTCTTGGATATATACAAAGAGTACTGTCTTATGCCTTTGTATAAGACAGTACTTATACAAAGTATAAATACTTATACAAAGCCATACACAGAAAAGTGCATGACTGTAGGGTAAGTGGTGAATCCTGCCAGAGGAGAAATCTGTATTCATAAGAGACTTTCAAAGTCTGTAGCAATTAACAGGACAAAAGGCAAACCCAAACCAGCAGTGCAGATATACCCATCTTGATCCTCATCTGCAAAATGAGAATACCAATAGCATATCAATGACATCATTGTACTGAGGATCATTTCACTACATTAAAAATATAAGGGGCCAGAGAGAATGTACAGTAGTAAGGCTCTTGCCTTACACAAGACAAGGTCAACACTTGATTAATCCCTGGCTTCACATATGGTCCCACAGCACCACCATGAGTAACTACCTTAGCACAGAGTCAGACACAAACTCTGAGCACCAAAAGTTGTGTTTCACCCACACTCCCTATTAATAATGCCTAGAATAATGCTTGGTACTTAGTAACTGCTATGTAATCCAAAGTAGCTATTGTAAGTGTTATTAATTTGTTGTTCTTGGATTTGGAATCAAGAGAAGAAACTACTTAAAAGACAATAAAGGACCAAAAAGAAAAAAGAAATAAATACATAATTTAGGACTCACTGTGTAGCCCAAGTGGGAGAGCACAATCTTGCATCTGTGAGGACCTGGGTTCATTCCCAGCTGTATGCATCTACCCAAGTGTGGTCTCAACAATTTAAACACACACACAAACACACAAATAAAACTAGCAGGTGATACATTTTTATACAATGGGATAAAATTTGAATGTGAATCTATCAAGGGAATTCAAAATTAACTACCCATTTAATATAATTCTATTATGAGTACTCTTCTGATTTTCAAAACAAGGCAAAAGTCAGGAGCAATTTAGAATGCTGTGCTATGCACAAAACTTAAAAAGATAAAAAGCACAGAAATTTCAAAGGGCTGAATTATAGCCATACAGTAAGCAAAAACCAGGAAAAAAAAGAACAAGAAAAAAACCAAATTCTGGAGTAAATGCTATCTTATATTTCACTTACTCTCAGAGGATCTCAAAAACAAACCAACCCATGAGTCCTACTACTAACACTACGGTTCAACGGCAAAGCTGAGAGCACCAATCTGGATAGTGCAAAGGCAGCAAAAACCAACTGGGCATTGGGAATCAGACCTTTGAAGAATCTTGGCACGTACTGGCAATGACTACTGGCAAGTTACTTAGTCTGGCTGGATCCCAATTCTGTCATTTAAAAGGACACTGACATGTACCTTATGTGTTATATCTACCAGCAGAATAAAGTAAATATAAACTGAAGTGTCTGATACATCCATGCAATCATTTCATTGGAAGGTTTCATATGAAGAATTTATCTTCAATAAAAATTCCATTTATAATGAATAAAAGTATTCGCATGTATAAACATTAAACATTTAGACTTGAGGTAAAGATCTGCCAAAGTAATAAAATGTGAATGTGCAGCAATAGAACCTAGGTGAAACTATGTAGAGAGAAAAAATAAAAGTTTGAGTCCTAAACAGAAACAATTAAAGAAGAATTTGTTAATCCCAAATTTGCTAAATCTCAAAGCTATTTTTGGAAATACTGGATGCCAGGTTTCCACGCCAGGAATTTAAGAACTCGGTGCTTAAACATTTGTGGGAAACAGATGTGGCATTGTATAACATTGGCAGGAAACTTCCTGGGAAACACCAGATGCAGAGTTTGGCCAGATACAGAATCCAGAGAATCTGAGGCCACCACCTACCTCCTGCTACTCTCCTCCCCACTCCACAGTTCAGAGCCCCCTGCCTATTGGAATTCTATTAGTGTCCCATTTCCATTCCACAGCAGACACCAGGGAGCATTATGCCGGGGGACTGGGGAGCGGGGGGAGCTGGGGAATGAGTCTCTTGTTACCCTGATTTTAAGAATGTTTAATCAAGTGAATTTATGTAGTTAAAACCTCAATGCCACAATTACCATTAGATGGATAC